CTGATGGGTTGATTGGCCGATTGTGGGATCTTGTAAAAAACAAACACACAAGCATCTCCTTACAGCGCCCATGGGACCCTTCTCCCTGCTACTAGGGGATGAGCCTCCCTTCCAATCCCTGTAGCCCACAGGTGCAGCTCTTGGGGCCCTGTGACCAGCGGGGTGGGAACCCTGAGGGGCAGCCTTCCTCTGGGAAGCAGAGGTCACACGTACGTGAGTGAGGCCCAGCCCGGGAGCCCTGCCAGAGAGCCTCCGTCCTGACGGGGTTGATCCAGAAAGCTTCGCAGGGGTCCAGGCACTTGGAAGGGCTTTGTCTGGGGGCATGGCTGGGGTTTTGCTGGGCTTGCAGCTCCCCGAATTTCAGAGACACCCCCTATGTCTCGGCCGCAGGAGAGCGAGCTACTACGCTTGCAGGCCTTCCGCCTCTTCGGGGCGCTGGCCAAGGTGGTCAGGGTCTCCAAGAAGCACTTCTTCAAGGAGGAAGTGAGGAGAGCCTGGGTCCCCCTCCTGCTACACTGCCAGGACCCCTGCCCCGACGCAGCTCAAGTAAGACCCCAGAGTTGGCGCCCGCTCTCCCCAAAAGGGAAAATGTTTTCTGAGCCCACTGGCTCAGCCACCTGTAGGCTCCCCCACCAACCCCGGGTCTGTCTCCCCTTTCCCATCCGTCCCCACTCATGAGCCCAGAGGCCACATGCCAGGCTGGCGAAAGGGACCATTCAAGGTGACCCACAAACCAACTTATGGAGGAGTCTCAGCTTTGTGGGGGCTCAGTTTCCTTCCTCCCCAGTTACCTTCACTGGTTGCCCTTCTGCCAGTCTCACTGTTGGGTGTTCACGTTCAGTCACGTTGGAAACTCACCCAAACCTCCCCTCACCCGCTCCCCGAGGGGCAGGCTTGGCGGAGGAGAGGTGGGCTGTGCCTGGCTCTGCACACGGTTTCTCCTTCCTCCCAAGTCCCAGCTCCTCTGATGCTTTGGGTGGGAGGAGGGAGGGACCTGTCTTCCAGTCTAACTGCTGCCTCTCAAGCCAGCGCCAGCTGGCTGGGGACACCTGTGTCAGGGTCATGCACAGCCCATGGCCCTGACCTCTGTCTTCTCCCTCCCTGTCCTCCTATACAGACTGGGGACAAGGTGGTGGACCGGTGGCGGGGATGAGGGCTGGTCTGCAAAAAACAAGGGACAGATACAGTTGTGGGAATACAGCTGGCTGTGAAGGGGGGGTCCTCAACCGCTCATTTTGAACTGGGTCCTTAGTCCCCAGATCTGGGGTCACAAGGCCCCTCAGTCCTGCTGCCGTGAGGGCTGCATGTGGGGCGGGGTAGCCGAGAGGCATCCTTGGGGAGGTGAGGGGAGTACCACTGTGCCCCTCCCTACCCCGGCTGCTGGCATGGCACTCAGCCCTGCCTGGGCCGTGCCCTGAGGACACTGGTGGCCCAGGGCACAAAGGTCACCTCTTGGAGACAGCTTTCATCTCCCTCTGTCAAGGGCTCCCACTGTGATTTCAGCTTTATCAGCAGCTGCCCAGTCAGGTGACGGAGAGGCTTTGATGAAGGAGCCACAAAGAGGCCAGGCACTGGTCCCCAGGGACAGGGAGGGCCAGACTAGCCCAGCCAAGGCTGCTGTCCCTGCTACCCATCGGGGGGCAGATGCCCAGCCTCTCTCCACCTGCCCTCCAGTCTCCTCTGGGCATTGTCCTGGGACCTGCCCCACCGGTGGCCAGGCCCCAAAGCCCAGCTGGTGCCGCATTCAGGGGTGGGAGGAGCTGAGTGCAGGGTGTCTGGGGGGTCACCCAGGTCCTGCCAACCCCAGCCAGGCCCCAGGCCAATGCCCTGGAAAGACAGATCCCTGGCAGGGCTGCTGAGGGGGCAAGTGGGCCACATCTGCCCCAGAGGGGCTTTTGGGGAATGTGCACACAACCATCGCCTGGTGGGGGCGGGGCTCTGGTCCCAGGGGCCCACTCAGGGATCCACCCACTTGCCACCCTCCAGCTTCCTGAGGCTTTTCCAGGCCGCCCTCGGGCCAGCCCTGCTCCCCCTGGGAACCCTGCCTATGGCCCGATATGGCCCCGCTGTCCTGCCCTGTGTCCCCACAGGCTTGTCTGGAGGCCACGTGTCAGTGTGTGCGCTTCTGGGGCTGCAAGGCCCTGGCAGACTCCTGGGTGCGACGGGACGGCTGCGGGGCAGACGAGACGGCGGCCGTTCTCCAGACGACCCTGTGCTCTGTCCTGGTGAGGACACTGAGGGTGGCCATCCCGCTGGAGGCGGCTGCCCAGCGGCCTGGGGCTTAAGGTCTTGGTGGCCATGGAGGCCTATCTCATGACCCTGTGTCCACCCTCTAGATGGGATGTGTTGAGGCCAGCACCGTCCGACAAAAATGAACACCGGCCACACACCCATTTTTAATTTTTCTAATACCCGTGTTAAGAAAAGTGAAAAAAGATAACACCAAATTTAATCATAGGTTTTATTTAACCTAGAAGACCAAAATCGTTCTCATTTCAACAAGTAATCAACATAATAGCTGTTAATTCAGGCTGGTCCCATTTCTAGTGCTTAAGGACCACATGTGGCCATTGGCTTCTGTATGGGACCGCGTGGGACAGACACGGCCCTTCTCTGGGTCAGACAAGGACGTGACGGGGGCTGCAGGTCGCCCGGTTTCTGACCTGCTGCGTGATGCTGGAGCAGGCACCTGCCCTCTCTGGGCAGGGCCTCCACAGCAGGCAGGTGGGGACACTGCTGCCGGAGCAGCCTGGCCCCGTGTCCCGTTTTCATGCAGACGCAGAAAAAGCCTGCTGTTCTCTATGGTTTCTTGCTGGAAACAATGACCTACATTAAAAGTAACTTGTCCAGGATCAGAATGGCTTCCTGCAACTTGGCAGGTGAGGGGACAGTTGTCTCCTGATGCGGGAGGGCCCTTGACGGCTATAGGCTTAGGCTCGGGGCTGGTGGGGACGGGTGTCAGGGCCAGAGCTGGGGTGGAAGTCCCCTCTGGGCCTGCTGTCTCACTGTGCCACGTACCTGCCTGTCAATTAGGCGTCCTGAGTGGCCGCCACATAAGGTAGAGCCAGGCCTCTGGACGACCTGCCCTGTGTGGTGAGCCCTCCTCTGGCCACCACTTAGGGATCATTATGAAGCAGATGTCTGAGCATTACCTGAAGAAGCTGGACTTCGCGGCGTTGCGGGATTGTAAGTGGTGGAGACTCAACGGTACCTGCGGAGCTCAGGGGGACGCTGAGGGAACTGCCCGCTCACCCCTGCTTGGGGCTTTGTGGGGGGAGTCGAGGCTGTAACCAGGGCACAGAGAGATGGATGGCCCTGCAGAGGGCTTTCCGAGGAAGACAACCCTCTTTGGCGGGGCAGTGAGAGTGGGGGGTGTCCCTTTGTTCCCTGGCCTGTGTCCTCTTCCCCTTCACAAACATTTATAAAATGCTTCTGCCCCGGTTCCTTCAGCTGATCCAGGTGGCAACCAGGTTCTGGAGGACCCCTCTGTCCGTTTCACAAGGGGAGCCCCGGGCGATGGGAGATGTGTGTGAAGACACGGCTCCACAGGCCACCTGCTGACTTTGAACCGGGGGCTCCCCGTCTGCAGCCCCTTGCCTGTCACTGGCTCCCGGGCCCTGGCGGGCAGAGGTGCGGGCTGGGGGGCGAGGCCAGCCTGCCAGGGCACTGATCCTCCCATTCCTCTCACCCGCAGCCCTCCAGGAGCTCCAGCTGGACTCGGACCCCGGGGTCCGGAGGGCCGCGCTGGACACCCTCCAAATCTTGGACACCTGTAGTCAGCAGCGGCCTTCCACTCCCCTGGAGGGCGTCTCCTAGGTGGCCGGAATGGAAGCCACCCACTGCGAGCCCTGCCCACAGCTGGCGGACCGCGGGGATTCACATTAGTTTGTAAGGAAAGCATTGTTGAGAAAATTGGTGTCGCTTCTTTCCCACTGAAATAAACCTCCATTGCCACGTGGACCGCAGGTTCTGGGCCGTGAGGCGACGGCACCCCATGGCCAACACGGTGCCAGGGGTTGTCCTCGCTTCCCTGAGGACGTGCTGTCTGACAGCCCCTCCCAGCCCGAAGCTCGGAGCCCGCCTTGGTGTCTTCCCTTGCATCTCTGCCTCGTCTGTCCATGCTGATGGCGCCCACTGCTCGAGGCCGTGCCAGGCAGCGGGGAGCAGGTTTCAGGGCAGCCTCTGCACCCAGGGGCCCCACTCCAACAGGGGAAGGAGGCGTCCCCCAGCCAAACATCACACCCACTAGACGGCAGCATCCCGTGGCTTACTGGACATGACAGGCACAGCCTACAGGCTGGCTCCCAGTCCCTTCCGCCTCACCGCCCTCTGCTGGACGATTGAGGGCATTGAAACCCCGAATTTCCAGGCTCCCTGGCAGCGAGGGTGGTCAGAGGTGACCTTAGCACAGGCGGGCTGGGCCAGGGATTGGGGGCGAGGCAAGGTGCAGGCGGTTTTGGGCAGGAATGATAGTCCTTCCTGATAAAGAGAGAAGGTCCAGAGCTGCAGCCTTGGCCAAGCCTGAGCCAGCAGCCTCCGCCAGCCTCCTCACCTACTCACAGGCTCGGACGGGCCATGCCCGCCCCCACCCGCGCCCTGATCCTCGCACGGAACTCTCACCGCAGTGTGAGGGGAGCTGAGATGGGTCTTTAAGGCGGGATTAGTGCCCTTATCATAGGAGCCACCAGCACCGGCCGCCTGAGGGCAGCGAGGAGGCCCGTCTGCAAGCCAGGAAGAGTCCTCGCCAGAACTGGGCCACGCCGGCAGCCGGGCCTCCAGCCCTTGGCCTCCAGAACTGGGAGAAATAAACATCTGTCGTCTGAGCCCCCAGCCTTTGTGACGTAGCCTGAGCCAACACACACGGGTCACGTGGCCCCGGCACAGGAGACGTGGCTGGGAGAGGAACATGACTCTCGGGACAGTGACAGCCGGGGGGAGGGATGGGGAGGGAGCCGTGTCATCTTATCTGGAATCTTTTATTTAAAATAAAAAAGTCCGTAACACGTGGCAATGAAACAATCACTCGGCGTGGGCCTGCTCACAGTGCCCCGAACACCTGAAACATTTTACTGCACGAGAGGCTCTGCCAGCGGCGCCAGGGGGGTCCCTGCGGTGGCTCAGGCGCCGTGCGGCTGCCGGGGTGCCCAGGGGTGTCACAGGCTGTTTAAACGCAGCATGCTTGCCTCTAAAAACGCGGAACATTACTTTTTATGGGTGAATTACATTTCCGTGTGCTACCTCCTGATCTGGAATGTGCCAGTCCGGTGGGTCTGGATTTAAAAGACTAAGCAGCTATATCTTTCAGGGCTTAAACTTAGGCTTCATAGCAAACAGTTTCTCCAGGGAGATGGAAAATCCACTCATGTCTAGACTTAGCACAGAACACACGAGCAAAACAGACCTATAAAGCATAACATTAATACTTCTAACCATGCAACTTTATTCCAATAATTTCTACACCAAGAACTCAGATTCATCTCAACAAAACCGATTTCACTGAGATTTGAAGATCAGAAAACTGAAGCAAGTTCTAACATTCTTGAGAATTACACACACAGAGAATAAGGAAGAGGGAAAATACTCTTTAACTCTATAGATTATTAGCTTCGCATTTTCTAACACAAAAGCCCTGATCATCCATCCCAAAAGACGTGCTCTTCTTTCCTCTAGAAAAAAAAAGACAATGAAAATGATTTCAGTAAAATGATTTCGACGGGAATTCCCAATGCTAGCCACTAAGAGCTTAAATGCTTTACATTTATTCGGTGTCTATGTAAACGCCCGTGTGTCCTCTACAGAAAATGCCACCATGCTTTACAATACCCCAAGGAATGAAAAAATACCCCCAAACCAAAAACACCCCTGAAGACATCAAAACTGACAGTAACTGCCAAGCCAGGAGTATACACTGTCGGGTCAGTGGGCGGGCCCTCCTGTCCCGTCCGGCCACGGGTCCACCCTGTGTAGGTTCAGGGGCTGAACGTCTTCATTTACACAAAGGGGCAGAGCCCGCCAAGTCAAAGAGTTTGGGGGGGGGAGTCAAAAAAGGAAGGGGAACAAAGGGTTGCAGTGCCTGATTGGCAGAGCACGCACGCAGGTGCCAGCCATAAAAATGCCCCCTGGAGTCACAGCTCACAAGGATTTGGTCCTTTTCCTCGAGAAATGTACAATTTAGGAAAAGAAGAAAAAAAAAGAAAGAAAAGAAAAACGATTAAACGTGTTTAATGGTGGTTGAAGATGAAACTGCGGTGGAGCTTGTCAAATTCCAGGGATGCTGGGAGGGCCCAGGCGGCCACGGGCCGGGCTCTACTCTCGGTCCCCCCACAGCCAGGCCCCGGCACTGCTTGTGGCGCAGCCTCCACGCCGGGCGTCCAGAGGAGGCGCAGAGGCAGGAGGGCAGTGACCTGCTGTGCTCCGGGGCTGCGCCGGCAGGCGCCTGAGAGGTAAGTGGCGTGAGCAGGTCAGGAGAGCTGGTGGGCAAGGCCGAGAAGAGGGAAGAGATCAGGAGGGCAGCAGCTTTAGGAAGAGGTTTAGGTTCAGACAAGTAGAGACAGCAGGACAGGGGCCCTGATGTGTCAGGGGCTAGGAGAGGCCTCAGGCACCATCTTCGGTGAGATGTGCCCTTTCAGCTGAGAAAGCTGTTCCTGGGGGATGAGAGGTGACCTGGGAGAGCCCACAGGGTGGACAGGCAATGCACTGTGTTGGCCGTGGGCACGTGGCTGGACTATGGAAGCCTCAGCCTCGCAGGACACAGTCACCCTGCCGGCAGCCTGGTCTGAAAGTCCAGGGTGGGCTTGGGGGCGGGGATAAACTTCCTGGGGTCCCGACACAAGGGAAGATGCAGACAGTGGGGGAGAAAGCCACTGAGTCCTGCTGAGGACTGGCCCCAGCTGTGCCGTCTGGGATGCAGCCGCTCCCTGGACCTGGCCGTCCCTGGCCAGGTCTGCTCCTCACCGGGTCTCCCGGAAGGTCCCTAACCTGGGAGGTGTCCTGCGTGGGAAACCATCCACGTAATCTCAGCACCCAGGTCACACCCCTCGCTGAGAAGACAAGTCACAGCACAGGTCTGTTCAATCTGCTTCTCGTTCGCTCACATGTGATTTTATACACAGAAAAGGATCTCATAAATAAAACACACAGGAGTTTCTAGAACTGAGCCAAGGAGTCTGAGCCACCAACCTAGAGGGTGTGCCTGTGTCCAGACAGCTCCCCGCAGAGGGGGTGCCGTAGAGCATGGGTGGGGGGCAAGCTAGGGCAGCGGGTTCGGGGGCAGGAGGAAAGCACTGGAGCTCCACTGGGGGGGCAGGGAGCTGTCATCAGGCAGGACCGGGCAGGGCGGTCCTGGAGGAGCCCAGGCCGGGTGGGGCACTGGTCACTGGTCACTGGTCACTGGTCACTGGCAGATCAGGCTGCAGGGACGGCGTGAGGGGGCTGGTGTGTTGGCAGCAGGCACCAGCTGGCCGCAGGCTGAGAAGCCGGGGCCCCGGAAGGAAGCGGAAACAGGAGGGGAAGGAAGCCCAGCCCCCAGTGCTGAGCTGGACGGACAGAAGGAGCAGGGCCAGGCCCCCGGGCTCCGTCTGGGAGGGGCGGTCGTTCCCACATCCACAGCACCCAGTCCCATCGGGAGCCGAAGCACCCAGGCTTTTGAAACATGTCCTGGGAGGGGAGGCCACTCGGTGTGGACGCTGAGAAGCACTAGTGGGCCAGGGCAGGGATGGGCCCGTGGGGGCCCATGGGGACCCAGGGGTTATGATGGTAACCACTCAGGTGGAGGGAGGGCGCACCTTCCGGAGGAAACGCACAGTCCCCTGCGAGGGGTCACAGGACCGACAGGCAGACGTGGGGAAACCGAAAATGAGATATTCAGGGCGAGGTGGGGTCCACTGGAGTGACCGCTGAGGGGTCACCCACGTGGGTAAGAACGGAAGAGGAAGTTTTACCTGGGCATTCCCTGCCCCCACCCCCCAACACACGAAATCCCAAACCACCAGGTGAGACGCAAGTCCAGCCCTGGCGACTGGTGGAGTGGTGGCCACAGGCAGAACAGCAACGGGGTCCACATGGAAACCAGGCCTGGTGTGGCCGCTCTCAGTGGCACATTGACCTGTCCCCACTCCTGTGTCTGTCTCCGGAGAAAACGAGATGGTGCTGGCACATTCAACTTTAGCTTAAGTGGCTGCACAGATGAAACCAGATGGGGGGACACTGAGATGATGGGCCCGGCCGGGAAACCCAGAAGTGGACAGACGGCCATGGCTCCGGACCAGCTTCACTGCACAACAGTGACCTCCTGAGGGCGCAGTGAAGAGCTGGACACAACGGCCTGACAGGGAGGGACGAGGCGGAAGTGCTGTGTCTCCGGGAACCGTGCGAAACCTCTCCACTGAGTGCGCTCTCAGCCCAACCACCGTGGGACTGACCTTGGATGTGGGCTCCATGCAAAGGAACAGTTTGAGGGAGAGTTTTGAAAACATGAACAGGACACTGCTATAAAAGACGCATTCAGAAAAAACTCACCTTTTTTCCCTGTGGACCTCCTCCTCGGGCCCCGGGACGGCCCTGCTGACCGTGTGACAGGGACCCCGGCCGTCGGCCCTGCTCCCACACAGCCCGGGGTCGGACAGTCGCAGTCTTTTTGTCTCCGGGGACGAGCTGCATCTGGCCACCAGGGCCAACCATGGGTCCGGGTGAACCTCAACTGTGCTGGAGTCCAGTGGACTTCTTAGCCTGCGCTGGGGCGTCGATGGCAACTTTGGGGGCCCCTGGTGGCCAGAGTCTGGATTTAATTTTTCTAAGAAGTCTTTTGGATTCTGAACTTGCACACTGGCTATACCTGGAGATGCTCCAGGACAGAAGGGCACCTCTGTCCCCTGAGCCGATATTCCACAAGACTTCCGGTGGAGCTCGTCAAATTTCTCTTTAATTTCCTCGTAATGGTCTCTTGAAGTGCCTAGGGGCTGGACCCCGGGTACTGAAAAAGCTTTGGTGAGTGATGCTGACTTCCTAAATTTTCCAAGGTGATTTCCTTGAAAAAGATCAGTGGTTGGCTTCCAGTGTCCTGACAACTCAGCCTTGGAAAGGGCTAGAGAGGAATCACCTTTTGGCAGCCACCTTCCTGCTTCAAGAGCTCGTTTGCCCAGGTTTTCAAAAGCCTCATTCAGACTCTTAGCTTTTGCTTTGCTGAAAGGTCTACTTGGCCGGTGGGTTTCTAATTCCTGGGGGCCACCTGGACTCACGGAAGCCCCTCTGTGCACATGGACCCCAGAGGAGCTGAGCGGGAAGGTCGGACTCTGCTGCTTCCTGGGGCTTAGACAATATTCCTGATAGAGTTTATCAAATCTGCTTTTGAGATCCCCGTGATGACCTCCCCTCTCGCCCTGCAGCATTCTTGGTCTGGGAATGATTTTTACAGGAGAAATTAACCACTTTAATGTCATTAATCGCTTTTCCTGATTAAGACGATACACCCCACTGCAGTCTCCGTGAGCCCATGAAGACAGCTTCCGGGGTGTTCCCTTAAGCTCCTTCCAGAATTGGAGTTTGTTTACTTCAAAAGAAGCTTTTTCCAATTTTAATCCCGCCTCCTGGCCAGAAAGGCTTCGGAAGTTCTGGCACTCTCTCAGGGCGCCCCCCCCTCTCACAGGCTCAGGTTGTGGCCTGGGCCTCTCCTGGGGCCCCCTGCACGTGGGCCTGCTGCCCCGGCAGAAAGTCCTGTTTGCCCTGCTCCTGCCCCCGGGCCTCCGCCGGGAGCCCCGGCCCTGAATGATGAAGGTCTTGGTGGAGATGACGCACGAGGGCCTGGCGCTCAGCAGCCGGCTCATGGAGTGCAGCATGCCCGCGTACAGGTCGCTGACGGTCACGTTGCAGAGGTCGTCGGCAGCTGCAAAGGACTGGCTGCTGGTGACACTGTGACCACTGGTCTCTCGCCAGGAGACACTGTCATCTCTGAGCACCACGGTCATGTCTGTGGAGAGAAGGCGTGAAGACACAGTTGGTTCATGAGGACGCTCTTCAGAGACACGGCCACAGCAGCCTGGGGAAGAGCATGGGGACTGTGCGTCAGCACTTCAGCCAGGCCGCACACAGAGCTTGCGGGACTGGAGGGCAGGGCCTGAAGGGCAGGGCCTGAGCGTGGCGGCTTTCTCAGAGGGTCACAGGAGACAAAGACAAATTTCCCAAATGTTTGGGAAATCTCTTCTCAGAGATTTCTTTCTAGCTATAAAAATGAAATTTCTACTCTGCACAAAACTTCCCCCCAGAGAGTCTTCCTTTCCCATGGGATGGTTTAGAACTTGGTTGCCTTCTCAAAGACTAAAAGGGCCCAGAAGGTGGAGGTGTTGTTCACCCACAGGACGGCGGGACCAACAAGAGACCTGGACATACCCCTCAGACGGCTTTGACTTTTGCATCATGTCCCATGTTTTATACATAAAAAAAGTTAAAGCATCGAGATGGGGATCACTCTCAAATACAGACAGGAAAAAAATGACTCTAAACGTACACCAAACTGACAACGAATGAGAAAAACAAAACCCAAATAACTTTGCATGCACACAGTTCCCTGAACCTGCTCCCTCGGTGGGGCTGGCGAAGGGTGAAAACTGCCTGTTGCTTGGAGATCTGGAAACTTCTCCAGCAGATTGCGGCGCGGAGCACTAAAAGGGGCCCCAATTCTGAAGTTTTTTTTGTGCCTCACTGCTGACCAAATAAATACACATACGTCATTCAGGGGGAGGGGGACTGTGACATCAGGGCTGTGGAACAAAGTGTTCAGAAACCGGTGGGGACAGGCCAGAGGACACGAGGCAGAAAGGGGCTGCTCCCAGCTAAACACAGGACAAGGTGAGCATCAAACCAAGTACTGGGCGTGGATTCTAACATGGAATTAAAAAAGAAAAAAAGCTGGTGAGTCCTTACTGACTGTAGAAGAGCTTAAAAAATGGCGGAGCAGATAGCTCTTCCGTACAGAGGGGGCCAGCAAGGGCCTGTGGAGAGAGGGCGGAACCGGGAGAGGCCTGGCTGCGGACGCCCACTCAGGCCACAGCGGTGCCCAGAGGCCAGGCCGTGGAAGAGGAAAAGGCGCCTGGGCAATGTCCAGGATGTGCACACAGATGCCTCTGAGGAAAAGGCACAGTCGCAGCCAGACCTCCGTGGGCCCTTCCGAAGCTATGCGGCCAGACTCGAGTCACCGACAATGGGACAGACTGACAAGACGTCCCCAGCAGACACAGGTCACCCACGTAGTTTGTCTGCCAAAATTGTTCAACGCGGACCTCACCACGAGGAAACAACCAGACAAGCCCACACCGAGGAACATTCCGCAAAACTGCCGGCAGCCAGGACCGCTGAGAGTCAGTGACGGGAGAGAGACGGCACCAGTGACAGGAAGGCTGGGGACACCAACGCAAAGGGCGAGGTCCCAGGGGCGCCGGGCTGGTGGGGCCGGACTGTGTCGGTGTCCTGCGTCTGGCACGCGCCGTTTGCTGCTGTTGTGCAGGGTCACCCTCTCTTTAGGAGGCACTTGTGGAGCACGTGGGGACTTCTGAACACGTACGAGCTGCCTGCGCCATGTAGGTGATTCTCACGGCGCACGCTGCTGGTCTGTGCCATAGGCAGGGGCACCGAGTGTAAGGGGCTGCACCGCAGGGGGGGGGGGGGCCTCCGCTCACATAGGGAGTCACACTCACCGTGGGCGGGCCTGGGAGGCGGGGCCAGGGTCCCATGCGTGTCATTTCCACCTCCACAGTCGGTGTACTGAAATCAAAGCAAGTGGTTTTAAGGAGGCGATGCCAGAGGCCAGCTCCGGGCACAGCAGGATGGTTGCCCCAAAGCCGCCCCGCAGGCTGCGGGAGGGGACCGCACGTCTGAGCTTGGCAGCAGCAGGGACAAGTGTGTGTGAGGACAGTGGACAACAGTGGTGAAAAGGAGTGTCTTAGGAAAACCAGGGACTTTGTCCAGCTGGCCTCCAGGACACCCTCCAGAGGGCCACACCTGCTGCTTTAGGATAAAGGCAAAGGGCACTTCCGGCCCACACCAGCGCCCCGGGCTCAGACACGGCACACAGAACACGCACACGCCCCTGCGAAGCTGGCTGCCTTCGAGACGAACTACCCACCGCAGCCTGGAACACCACAGCTGGGCCTGCCTGTACCTTTAGCACGTTCGCCCTTCTTCGGGCGAAGCTCCAGGATACAGGCTGCAGTGGAACTTGGGGGCGTGAACCCTGGGAAGAGGGGCCACCTCTCACAGGGCTCAGAACCCCTCCATCCGAGGGCGGGGCCCTCCTGGATTCCCGGGCCACCCCAGGGCATAGCGGGCAACAGCAGGCACAGCTGCCAGCTTTCCCACCACCAGGCCCCAGGGGAGCTGGAGCGGTCACTTGAGAGGAGCAGTCTGGGGGCTCGCACATGAAGGGGCCCGGGGACAACTGCTCAGCATGATCTTCACAGGCTCCGCAGGGACAGGGCGAACTCGGGGCTGCGCTGCGCCTCGGCGCGTCCCTAGCCCGTGGCCAGCGACACGGAGACACACATGGGGAGACACGCACTCGGGTTACCTCCAAGCCCTGCAGCAGCGGGTCCGCCTGGCTCAAGTACTTCCTTCTCAGCTCGTCTTTCAGAGGGCTCCACGGTCCTGCGGCCTGGTATGAGAGGTCGGCATGCTTAAGCTTCTGGGGGTGGGTGCACGCTTGGATTCTGGAATAATCTGGCAATCTCATTAACGTGCAGCTCTTTAAATGAAGTTCCCGAAAGTCACCTTTTCACTTCCCACCAGCACCAGTGCAAAGAGGTCACCTCTGAAAGTCCACCCGACCAGGCCTCTGACCGCGGAGAATTTACCCGCGGTAACAAGCCAAGAGAGAGGAACAAGACAAGAAATGCAAGTCTGCAGAGGCTTATGGCAGCATTACTAGAGCAGAAAAAGAAGCAAAATAGCCCGAACGTGCTTAGGTGTGCCTGGGACTCGGACGCTAACACCGGCCCCAGTCCGCATGTTTTGGGAGGAAGGGGCGCAGTGCTCCATCCCGGGTGGCAGGAACGCCGCCTGTCTGCCGCTGCACCTCCCACTCTCTCAGCTGAGTGGGGCCAGGCCAGGCCTGGGGACAGGCCCTGTTCGGTGCGTCCCGACCGTGGGGCTGCCTACTTCCCCACACCGCCACCATCCCTCCATATCCCCAGGTACCCCCTCTCTACCCCCAGGTCACCACCTTATCTAGTAGTTAGACACCCAGCATTCGGAGCACACCTGTGCATAGAAAGAGTGATTTTGGAGAAAAGCCACACGCTAGCTATTCTGCTACCTGACCCGGGCCCAGGAAGAGGCTCCGAGGTCTGTGTGTGTTCCCCTCCATCCCAGCTGGAAGGGAAGGTGAGAAGCAGGTGTTCCACTGAGACCGGTGGTGCCCAGGGCACAGGGGCTGCCGGGAGACAGCACGACCTGCTCGAGTTCTGTGACCACATGGCTCAGCGGGCTTTCCAGGCTCACCTGGAATGATGCCCTACCACGGCGCCGCCCTGTAACGTGGGCTCCACAGAGGCCGACTCAGAGCCCAGCTCTCAGGACTGCAGGCTCGGCTGCGGCGAGTGGCAGCTGCAGTTTTCCTCTGTGTAGAGGGGACCTCACCTGGCACCTGCACCAGCTCAGTCAGGCCCAAGCTTGGGGCGTGAGGGCTGCTGAGAGCTAGGTGGAGGGGGGGGGAGGAGGACAGATGCTTGCAGCATAGGGGGCCTGAAGAGGGGACCAAAGACTTGGGGGGAGCGATTAGCACAGCACGAGCCTCAGAAGAGGAAGGTGCTGGTAAGGGGATGTGGGCCCGCACCTCGACCCCAACCGCCCCTCACAGCAGAGGTCTTACCGGCGAGGCCGAGGCAGACAGACCCTGCTGGTGTAAAGTGACATCGGCATCACCGCTTCTCCAATCTAAAAGCGAAAAAAGGAAGTTTCGATCAGAACTTCCGAGAAAGCTTGCGTTTTTCTGTCCGGGGTGTCTTCTGCATCACCCGCAGGTGCTGTCATAAGTCGCTTCCGGATGCTCCCTCTAATAGTGACACGGCCCCGTCAGTGCACCGAGCACCACGGCGCAGAGGCCCCATCAGCAGGGGAACGGCCTCTTGTGGTGGACAAGGGGAGAGCAGCGTTCATGTCATTTCTAGCTCTTTCCACGACCTCAAGTCCTAGAAGCGGAGCCAGAGCCCAGCAGCGCCCATGGAAAGTTTCCCATCTGCTGGCCAAGGCGTCAGCCCCGAGCCACACGTGGCCGTTGAACACTTGGAACATGGCCAGTGTGGCTGGGAGCTGAATTTTAAGTTTTATTTAGTTTTCAATTAATTTGAACAGCCACAGGTAGCTAGCACTACCAGTGAGACAGCACGGCTCTGGAAGAGTTAGTTCTAATTATTTTAAGCAATCCAGGCAACTCACGGACCTAAGGATTTATGGAGTTGAACATCTGGGTTAACACTGGGAAGCAAATGACACCCACGAGTGCACATCCTCAGTGAGGCCCCTCTGCCCGTTTTTCCTCGAGGACTTGGCTGTGTTCCCGCCTGCCCGGAGCTGGCTCGGGGCTGGGAGGGCTGTGCAGGGCGGACGGAGGCTGCAGGCAGGCCAGGAGGTGGGTGTGCCAGACCGATGACGGGTCTGTCCCTGCAGAGTTAGTTACTCTACTGCTCCAAGTGGGGGGCCGGGGCTCTGACCCGATCCACACCACTGGCCTCACTGACCATTGTACTGAACACCACCAAAGGCCTCTCATCGGGGAAGTTCAGGAATTCAGGCCCGGCGTGCTGGGGGCTCTGCTTTTAAGCAGGGAAGCCACGTGACCAGATCTGCCTGATCAAAGGTGCCAGTGGGGCGCAGGGAGCCTGGGCCCGTACCGTGAGCGTGTGCGGGGCTCGGGCTGAGGGGCAGGAGATGGCGGGAGGCAACAGGCGCAGGGCAGTCCTGGGTGTGAGGAGGAGGAGCAGGAAGGGGCTAAGACAAAGGGGACACTGGGCTTCTGGCTCCGTCACAGGGACGGTGGTGCGGGCCTTGTACTGAGGGCCAGTCTGGGTGTTACCTTTCTCAATTGAGACACTCGGGAGTTCGGACACAGTATTTAAGAAGAGAGGCCACTAAACACACCAGACAGGGTCTGGGCGGGGGGCATGTCCCAGGGAGGGGCTCAGACCCGCTCTCGAGAGGGCACCCTGTGCAGACAAGGGGGCGGCTGAGAGGGAGGGCAGTGCCACCAAGGCCCAGGCCAGGCTCTCCAGAAGCTTCAGAACCAGGAGGCCCCCATGGAAACATGAATGAGAAAGGAAGTGAGCAGTTCATGCCACCACCTTATAAGGGCAAATCTTAGGTCTTATTAAATTCTTAAAATTAAATTTTCTTTCTTACAAAAAGTTAAAAATGGGTGGGGTTGAGGGGTGTGTTTTTATTATTTTAGAACATCCGAGTACTGCTTATGCGTCCAGGGTCCCAGTGAGAGTGACCCAGCTCCCGTGGGGCACTCAGGAGGAAGTGACAGGACACGTCGGGATGTTCCCTTTCTTAAAACAGCACTCGGCGGGATCTAGACTTTAAATGCTGTCCCAGAAACACGGCAGGCCCAGTGCCCCGCGATCTCGACGTCTGGCCCAGGGCACACTCACCCAGTCCCAGGTCCTGAGCGCCGGGCGTGGGCGGCCCGTCCCCTCCAGCCACGGACTGCACGGGGCCATCACTCCTGCCGGCCGTCTCCTCGGGGGAGCCCTATCGTGCAGAAGGTGACACAGTCCTTTCAGACACAAGACGTTTCAAAGCCCCCGTGAAGTACCAAACCTCCTATGGGATGACAGGGAGCCTCACGAGGCTTCTCTTCTAGTACATTCTGGGGGGAAAGGCTTCGAAACTTGTAGAGCATGGCCAGGCTCCCCTTGGAAAGGAGCCGAGCTCGCTTCCTCTGGCTGCACCCAGGGCTGCTACTATGAGATCCACGTGGAGGGTGGAGGGTGAGGGGCAGGGCCAGCAAAGCGAGGGGCCTGACCCTGCCCTCACGTGACGGCAAATGAAGTAGGACAGATGGCCACATGGCCAGCAAAGCCTAAACTGTTGACTACATGGCCCCTTGCAGGAAAAGCGGGCTGATCCTGGTTTACAGTTAAGAAAGGTGCAAATAGCTAAACTCCTGTCAACGAGAGAGCAGTTTTAAAGGAAGAGGAGTGTTCACAATACATACTCAGTGGAATAAAAGAGGGTAAAAATATGTGCACTTGTGAACGTGTGTATTATAAGGAGGAATCACCTTATACTAAAACGTCATTAGTGAGTATCTAGAGAAGTCAGGTCAAGTCTAAGCATGCAGTTACGTATTTCTAACACTCCTACAATTAAATGTATTGTGAGTGTTACTAACGTAATTAACCAGGAGGAAATTTGACTTCCGAATTGCTGTTAATTGCTTTGGGACCCTAACCCCAGGTTCTCATTCTGCAGTGTCCTCAGCTGAGAAGCTGTGACAAAGAGACACCAGACACCCTTGCGAAGGTGACTATCTCGAAAGGCTGCGTGGTAGGGCAGCAGCGGTACCGGCACCCCCCGTGGACGCACCAGACCGTGGAGCTCCGGCATCCACGGGCAAACCCAGGGCAAAAGGCTGTGGGGGGCAGCGCCACGTGGAAGGAAAGAGCCGCACAGGAGAGGCCAGTCGCCCTCTCCCTGACCTCTTCCCCCCTTTCCCAGAAGGACCTGGATTTGGTCTTTTCTGTAAGAACCCAACTAGGAGAGCTTGCAGCTGTCAGTCCCGCAGACTATGGCAGAGGGGACATGGGGGAGAGAAAGGGCTTAAGCATTGCACAGCTCCTCCTTGCACTTGACAGACAACAGAAGACATGCTTCTCAGTAAATCCTTCAAAGCAGACAACAGGGTGGCTACGGCGAGAACGCCGTGGAAGAAGGCCCCGCAGTGGCCTCAGAGGCGACTGGGACTGTCACTCGTCACCCACACCTTCACCGGCAGCACGGGGCACGCTGGCAGTCATGTGTGATGTCAGATACCTGGATTTGGCCTTCATCCCTTTTCTTTACTAGCCCTCCACCCCACACTCGAGATCCTGGAGAAAAGAAACAAAATAAGAACAATTACTGGAGTGACCCTCAGCACTGGGTTCCTGTGTCATCTGCATGCGAAGAAAATCCAAATGACAGGCAAAAGGAAATTCTACTATTAAAACCAGGCCATATTTCTGATCTCCTGTTGTTTCTCATCTTCGTGAGGCTGAAGAGGTTTTCTTTTTCTAAATCAAGATTAGACAAACATCCATCATTGATGACTATCTCTAGCTAATGGGCAGCAGCTGGTCAACTTTTGTCATTAAAGCCACAGAGTTAAACGGAAACAAGGAGCCTATGAACACCAAGCACTGTCCTCCTCCGAACAGATACAGAGGGCGCCCCACGCTCCCACAGAGGGCGAGGGCGAGCACTTGTGGGCCCCCCCCGCCCGGTGTGCAGAGGCCGTACATCACACAGACAGAGCAAGCACTGAGCGCCGGGGGAACGATGAGTTCTAGAGTCCTGCCCCCTGCGGGTTGACAGAACCCGAGCGAGATACTTCATCTCTTCTAAAAGAGATGAAGCATCTCTTCATTTGCTTTCAAGTCAATTCAAGTTGATCAGGAGGGGTCGTGGGGATTCAAGGCTTGAAACCGTCATTAAAGGCAATAGCAGTGAAAACTTCCACAGCGCCTCTAGGCTCTGTTCTGAACCCTGTCCAAGTGCGCCTCTGTTAGTCTTCGCAAACACTAACATATTAACTGGAATAGGACTCCTGCCCCCAATGGCACAGGCGCTCACCAAGTTCATTGTACAGGTGGACACACAGCGAGGTCAGGGAACCGGCCCAGGCCACTGGCCCATGTGCTGGGACCCAGCTGAGAACCCAGGACAGCGACTGCGCTCCTGTCCCACTGCACTGTGCGGCCCTTCCAGGACAGGCGAGGGTTGAGCAAGTGCGCTTGGACTCAAATCCAGCCTTTGCCTCCTTGTGGCAAGTTCATCAAACTCTCTCTACCTTTTCTCCCCTGCTAGGAAGCAAGGATGATTCTAAAACAGTGCCTACCTCGCAGGATTGTTGAGAATCAAAGATACGAGACTCTCAGAAACACATGCTTAGCTCTCAACACAGGTGAACTACTATAATAATAGTAGTTCCTGCGGCCTTTAGCCTTTATCCTATCAGCGTGGGAGGGTTAGTTCCAGAACAGTCCCTATGGCATTGCCTGAAACTGGGAATCACGCCTCGGGGATGTTCCGCTAGCATGCAATCAGACAGGCCGCTCCCTGACTGAGTGCCTCTCCAGGGTAAGCAGCGGCACCACCAGGGCACCTGCGCTGTATGTACCATCAGCGGGCACCTCGTTAGACCGCAGACCCCCTGAACCTGCACGTAGGACCCTGTGCCTCACCAAGCCCTCTGGGTGGTCTCCCACACACTAAGTATGACCACCATCAAGGCGTTTAGGTGCTTCAACTGCTGTTCTCGTCAAAATGGAGTCAGGCATGAATTGTCACTGGTGAAACTAGTGGTTTTCGAGACACACATACTGGCAAGCTATTCCAGACACTGCCCGTTCTTAGTGAGGCCCACAGGAATGACTCGTACAGAGCCCTGTGTCCTGCCCCCGGGTGAGAGTTGTCACCAGCTGCTGCAGACACCTGCAGCTGGCACACCTGAATCCGGCCTGTATAAACTTTCCCCTCAAGGTATGGCTGGGTTAGCCAAGAGGCGAAGAGCTAGGACTTTATTTAAGCAGCAGGTCTCATGAACCTTTTGGTGCCTGTCTTATCCAACCCAACACAGAACTGGACCCGAGCCTGGCTTTCACTAGTAATAACACGTTGGTTATAAGGCTGAATGGGAGGAACTTTCCTCGGCTATTTACCAAAGAGAAGCCATGAAGTTTAAGTCAGTTTGCAACATCAAACATTAAGCAGATATCCGTAAATATTCAGAAAGGGCGGGGGGATGATTCCATACCTTGGGGCGTTTCGTAGGTCAGCGTGGACATTTGCACCACCGGAGCATCCTCGAAGGCTTGGTTGTACTACATACAGGAGAGAAAGGGGCGTGAAGCCGAGTCCGAAGGGGCAAAGCCCCTGACCCGAGCTGAGGAGAGACCCCCTCCCCAACTCCTCCCCTTTCCCCAGACAGCCAAGCCGGCCTCCCTGCTCCCTGTACCTCCAAGACCACCTTCACCATCCTCTCTCCTTACCCCCGGACCCAAACTCCACCTCCGCTTCCCGCCGCTTTCCTCCTCACCCCAGCCCCCACCCTGCCTTCCCTGTTTCGCTGGCATCGCGCCCTTGCCAGCGGGCCGGTGGGGACCGCACCTTCTTGAGAAGCTGTTGCATGTGCCTCTGGAAGCGGCGGCGGCTGTCCCTGAGCTTCTGCAGCAGCTCGTCGTCCCCCAAGACCCCGTTTTCCATGGCGCGCTCTTCCGCACCTTGTCTCCCGCAGGAAAGGAGGACTGGGAGCTTTAGAACCGCGCCTTGTTCAAATAGTGACTCCGCCCTTCCGGGCCAACCCTCGGGTTTCCCATTGGCTGGCGTGGAGAATCTGGGCTCTGAGTGGGCCTTTCAAACACAGTATTGAGTTTTTCTCCCGGTCAATCCCGCTGGAGTTTCCGCACCGGCCCTGCCGGGACTTCTTGGGGCCGGGTGCGCCGCCGCGCGTGCGTAAAGCCATCGGGCTCCGGCGATCGATAATCCAAGGGGCCGCGCGAGAAGCCTGGGGAGCACGTACAGTTCCCCTCGGTGTGCACAGGGCAGGCAGGGAACCGTAGGTCTTCCTGAGCCCTTGGGGGCGCCACCCTGCCTTCCTCCGCTCCTGGAGCTGTCACAAGAGCTGGGTCCTAGAAAGAGCCCCCCCAAATTACGAATACAAAGGAACAATTTGGATGAATATAAAGGACACATGTGTTGGAGGAAATCGGCAGCCATTCGTGGCTTCCCGCTACTGTAAGCTGCTTGCCGCTTTCGCGCCAGAAGTAACAGTCCGCCGCTTTGGCAAGTATGTCCCGCCCAGCACCCTATATAAGCAATCACTCCCCACAGCTATGGGGTCCAGAATTTGAAGACTGCCTCTTCGGGGTCCGTATGCGTAAATAAAGGGTCCACTTCGCTTCCTCCAGTGTTCGGCCTGAGTTCTTCCCGCAACATTTTGGTTCCCTAACGGGGAAACGACTCACTGGAGCAGGCGATTGCCTCCGGTGAAGTGGCGGGGGGCGCTTCGCGGAGCCCTGAGACGGAGGGGAAGCGCGCGCCCCGGCTGTTTCGGGTCCTACCCCTCCCGGCTCGCTGCCAGCGAGGCCCATGCTCTACCCAGGCTAGAAAGGGAGCGAACGGGTCCAGATTGGGGAGCTGCGCAGCCACAGGACATGCTAAGTGCCCCCGGGGACCAGGAGCCCGAGACTGGGCCCATCCTTGTGGTGGGAGAGACTGATCACCTTTCAGGCAGGTCAGTTGGCCATCAGGTAGGGGAAACCCAGCAGGAAGACCTATGGGCCGAGACTGCATTAAACTCTCGGATGTTTGTGTGTATTTGTGTGAGTGACTCAATTTGTGGTTCCACCGATGAAAACCTACAGAGTCTGAGTGGGCCCCAACCTGCGGTTCCTCGGTTATATAGCATAATGGCTGGGAGTTTAACCCGGATTCTATGCAGGCACCCTTAGATAAGACAGACCCAGGTCCCTCTGGAGAGGAGAGGCCAGGCCAGACGGGGGAAACTCAAAACCCCATTCCTTCGTTTGTCTGCGCCGTTGAGGGAGGAACATCATGGGAGGAGGCCCCTCAAGAATACTTGACTGCATGTTGCAGAACTTTGATCTGTTTTGGGGTCAGGACCCAAGCATGACTCGAGACCAATTAGAAACTTTGTGTACATCGGAATGGCCAACATTTGGGGTAGGCTGCCCCCCCCCCCCCAGGGAAACCTAAATTTAGGGATAATCCGAGCAGTTCACTTAATAGTCACAGGCAAGCCAAGACACCCAAATCAGTACATTTACATAGACAGATGGCAGGTCAGAAGCCTAAGGCAGTAGGAATGATATGGGAAGCTTTGAAGAACCTTTGTTTACCTAAACCCCAAGCACCCTCGGAAGAGGATAGGGCCCTTTGAGAAAGCAAATAGCAGGATCTTCACAAGGGCTAGGACTAGCACCCCTGCAGTTAGAACTAATTTCCGCATTTAGCCTTTGTACTCTGCTTCTGCCATGTAGGTATAGGGAGCCTTATAGCTAGAACTAACTTCCTCATTCCGCTTCTGTATCCCGCTTTCCTACATAGACAGGAAGACCCCGTAGACTATATAAACCCCAAGAATCCTTTGTTCGGGGCTCAGAATTTGGAGACTGATTGACTCCTCTAGGCCCGTGCACATTAATAAACCTCGTACTCCAGAATCCCTCAGTGTCTAGTTGCTTCAATTTCCTGTAACAGGAATGGCTAGTGGTAGGTGAAAAGCGGTGTGATCTTGCTGCCACTGGCCCTCCTAACAAGAGCTTCTGGCCCGAATTTTGGTTGCCCAGTCAAGAGAAATACGTTCCTCGCCCCTGCCCCCCATTTTCAAAGGAGAGCCAGAAGAGGAGCTGCCTATCAGTCTACCTCCTCCATATGGTCCAGGGGCCCTCCCACAGGCCCTGGAGATGGAGACTCCACTGCCCTCTGTCTCTCCTGCACCAGCCCCAGCTGAGTCACATGTCTCCTTGATTACGACAAGACTCCGGCATTGTCCCAATCTCCAGATGCCCTTGAGGGAAACTCAGGCCCTGCCGCAGATTGAGCCAGATGGCACTGAACAGCTAGGGTGAACCACTATTACCAGCCCTTCACCATCACCGATCTCCTCAATTGGAAACGTCACATCCTGTCCTACTCGGAGAAACCCCAGGCCCCCGTCAACCTCATGGAATCCATCACGCAGACCCACCGCCCCACCTGGTATGACTGCCAGCAACTGCCCCTCACCCTGTTCAACACAGAGGAGCGGAGGCATATCCTCCAGGAAACCCACCGGTACTTAGAGACTGGTGCCAGTAGGCACCCTTGATCTAGTCCAGTGGGCCAGGGCAGCAGCCCCTGAGGCCCAGCCTGACTGGAACCGCAATGCAGAAGGAGGGAGGGCCGCGCCCCAGCGCCCCTGGGATGCCCTCCTCCAAAGGATCTGAGCGGGGGCCCGACGAACATGTCCAAAGTGGCCAACCACCCAGCGCCTTGACGAGTGCCCTGGGGACTTTCACGAGCGCCTGTGTGAGGCCTGTCGGATCCGCACCCCTTTCGACCTGAAAGGGCCAGACAACCAGAGGATGGTCCACATGGCCTTTGTCTCCCAGTCAGCCTTAGACACCCGGAAGAAACTCCAGAAACTTGAAGGATTTGCTGGCATGAATATAAGCCAGCTAACAGAGGTCGCTAATAAGGTCTACGACAGCAGGGAGGAGGCAGCAGGGCCCAGAAGAGGATGAAACAGAAGGCGGCTGTCCTGGCAGCCGCCCTTGGTAACTCCCTACGGACCAAAGGAGGGGGAAAACAGCCGTCTGAGAAAGAAAATAGGCCGGCAGCCCGGAGCATAGACCTGGACCAGTGCACCTACTGCAGAAAGAAGGGGCAGTGGAAGAGAGAGTGCCCCGGCAGGACACCGGGGCAAAAGTTTCCACGATCGGGGCCACAGTAGCCCCAAACAATTCTGCCAGGCCTGAACAGTCGAACTCGGGCGTCACCAAATAGGCAGTCCGGGCCCCTCGAGAGGAGGCTGTACACTGTCAGGGTCACCAGGAAGAGAAAACAGAAACAGCTGGGGAAACCGGAGGGCTGACCAGGCAGCCGAAGTGGCGGCGACAGGCCCGGAAGTGGCAGCCCTGCTGCCGACTCTGCAAGGACCACTCCTGGTACAAACCAGCCAGGCTACACTCCAGGCGAACACAAGTGGGCGATACAGGAGGGCGGCTCACAGGCAGCCTCAGAGGTGGAGCCAGCAAAGCATATAAGTACCTCCTTGCGATGGTCTGTACACTTTCCGGATGGGCAGAGGTGTACCCCGCCCGGACAGAAAAGAGCAGGGAAGTGGTAAAGGCCCTGCTCAGAGAGAGAATCCGAGGTTCGGACTGCCCACCACCATAGGGAGTGATAATGGACCCGCCTTTATAGCCAAAGTGATCCAGGAACTCGCAACTCAGTTAAAAATTAATTGGGCCTTTGAACCAAAGGATTGTGTTCGATTCCCAGTCAGGGCACATGCCTGGGTTGCAGGTCAGTTCCCAGCAGGGGACACACAAGAGGCAACCATACATAGATATTTCTCTCCTTCTCTCCTTCCCTTCCCCTCTAAAGATAAATAAATTTAAAAAAATTAATTGGAAATGGCACACTGCCTACTGCCCCCAGAGTTCAGGGAAAGTAGAATGTGTGAACCGGACTCTGAAATAGATCAATCTACCCTGGCCTGACCTGTTGCCCTTAGTGCTGTTCAGAGTTCAGAATGCCCCAAACCCCACTGGGTACACACTGTTCAAACTAGGCTATGGCAGGCTGCTGGCTATCCTAACCCTGCCCAGGGGAGAGCTTAAAGTTCTTGGAGAAGCAGGGGAGACTAGGTATCTCCAGGACCTAGGGGAAACAGCCAGATAACACCAGGCTGGATTGGGCCAGGGACCCTGTCCACCAGGGGGGCCAGCCCACTCACATAAGTCAGGGAACTATGTGTGGGTAAAAGACTGGGGAAAAGAACCCCGCCAGCCCACACGGACAGGGCCCCACTGAGTCATACTAACTACCCCAACCGCCCTTGAAGTTGCAGGGATCACGCCTTGGATCCACTACAGCCGAGCCCAGGCAGCAGCAGATCCCGAGGACTGGAGGGCTGACAATGATCCAGAACCACCGTCGCCGAGGCCACCCACCCTGAGGTTAAGAAGGACACCAGCCACCGACGAGGACCCTGGGGAATAGACCGTTGTTCCGGAGGATACCTGACCATCGTGGGCAGCTCTGCAGTCATCCTGGGAATTGGACTAGTAACTGTAACTCCTCCAGAATGGGATACCAAGGAGCAGGTTGCACTGGGAGGCATATGCCCCTGTCTTATCTGTATCTTTGTATATTTGGTATGTTTTGCTTAGCTTGCTCAGCCTCTGTCACGCCCCAGTATGTAAATGCAGTACGCCAGGAGGAAGAATGAGGATAGGAGGTGGCATAGTAACCTCCCACATGGCTGGGAGAGGTTTCATTGTAGCACCGCTATGGCCCCAGAGTGTATACAGTCAGGGACAACTACGACTTGCAGCTGGGGAGGGAAGCTCTATTGGACAGGCATTGTGGCCAGAACTACAGGGTATCAGAGCCAGAAGTGTCAGCCTCATGGGCCTCCAGGTAGACAGGTCTGCTGGAGCTGCTACCCACGACTGAGTAGTCTAAACCAGAAAGAATTTGAAACACTCCGGAAAGAGGCGGTAAAAGAAATAATAAACCGCCTCAAACAAGGAGAAGTAGCAG